AGACTGAAAGGGTAAATAAGGAACCAAAATGTATAACAAATATTAGAAAGTAGGAAGAAAATGTTCAAATGGGAAAGGGAACAATGTGAGGGAAGGAAGGGAAAAGAAAAACAGACAGAATAGAAGGGAAAAAATGCAAACAAAGCTTTTGTAAATAAGGAGGGGATGGGGAGTTAAAAGGAAGGGAGGGCATTGGGGAAAAAAAGAAGAATGAAGATATGTTACGTACAGATAGAAATTTCCCATGATGAATATGCTCATTATGTATATCTAAAATGTACCAATAACCTGTCTCCTTAGTGCAGCAGGCTGTATGTCAGTCTCATGAAATATACCAATAAAATTCATTTTTAAAACATGTAAAATGTGTCCAGTGAAATAAAGTACTTGTTTTAAAGTTTTAAAATAAAGGTTCTTAATATGTATGTTTATTTTTTCATACAAAATTAGAAAGGTCAGTTCCACTGCAGATGAGTAAATACACACAAGTAAGATGCACACGAGAAAGTACATCGAGTAAAAACCTCTTAAGAGCCACCACAAAGCACCTCCATATTTGATTAATCTGGTTCTTGTCTTCAACAGATACATAAATTTCCTCAAAAACATATCCACATCGCAAAAAAGGACAATAACAAAATCTATGGAAAAGCCTAAGGAATAATAAATGATTAAGTGGGCTGAAATATCAAATATTTTATATCCATGCATCTACTCTGACAGTCAAAAATAAGTTGGTTACCAACAGAAGGATGCTAGGAAGCTAACTTATTATTTTGAAAACTGGGGAATGAATGGAATGAATCAAGTATTTGTCCTTCTCCTTACATAGTAATTTACCAATGACAAGCCAAATACTATAGCAGAAGAGATTTTCTTTTCATAGCAGTATTCAAGTTAACTGAGAGAGATGGAAGGGAAATTAAAGGAATCAGAGTTGGGGGACACGTTGAGGATCATTGTGTGCATTACAGAGACACAGCCAAACGTTGCACACCGAATGGAAAACTATCACCATCGATAAAGCTGTCTTTTCAAGAAGAAAAAGAAGAGCCAGGTGTGGTGGCAAATGCCTGAAATCCTGAGGTAGTAAGCTGTGAGTTCAAGGCCAGCCTGGGCCAAAAAAGCTAGTTCAAGGCTTGCACACGGGATGAGACCCTTTCTCAAAAAACCCAAAACAAAACAAAAAACAGAAGGAGGAGGAGAAATCAAACATGAATCTGATCAAGTCTCAATATCCACCTGCCAATCTGTGAAAACAGAAGGCACAGCTGGCCCAAAATGTACACAGCAGAGGAAATAATCAAATGAAAAAATACTTGCAAAGCACATATCTAGGGATTAATATCCAAAGTTTATAAAGAACTCTCACAACTCAATGGTAGTAAAGCAAATAACTGAATTAAAAAATGGGTAAAGTTCCAACAGACATTTCTGTAAAGAAGACATAAAAATGGCTAGCTGGTGTATGAAAAGGTGCTCAACATCATTAATCATAGGAGAAAGATATTAAAGCAACTATGAGATACCATCTTATACTTTTAAGGAAGGCTATTATCAAAAAGATAAGATAACAAATGTTGATGAGGGTATGGAAAAAAAGAACTCTGGTAAACTATTAGAATGCAGAGTGCTACAGAAACTACACAAACTAGTAAGAAGGGCCTTCACACAGAGCCATATCTTCAGGGTCACGCTAAGTCAATAAACTGCCCAAACTGGGCTCTAACTTGTAATCCTCCTACCTCAGCCTCTTAGACTGCTGGGATTACAGGTATGTGTTACCTACCATTCCTGGCTAGAATGGAGGTTGTTAAAGAAATTGTTAAATTTTTAAAAAGAACTACCATACAACCTAGCAATGCCTCTTCTGAGTATAGAGAAATCGCCATCTCATAAAGCTATCTGCACGTACCATTAGCTCCAATAGCCAAAATATGGAAATAACCTAAGTGCCCATCAATAAAGGAATGGATAAAGAAAATGTGCAGCTACATATGCAGCACTTCAGATAAGCTTTCAAAAACTGAGGTCTTTAGAGCTGGGCGTGGGGGCGCACGCCTGTAATCCCAGCACTTGGGAGGCTGAGGCAGGAGGATCATTGTGAGTTCGAGGTCAGCCTGGGCTACAAAGTGAGCTGAAGGCCAGCCTGAACTGCATAGCAAGACGCTGTCTCAAAAAAAAAAAAAAAAAAGACAAAAAATAAAAATTAAGGTTTTTCAGTTGGGCATTGTGCACATCTATAATCCCAGCACTTGGGAGGCTGAGACAGAAGGACTGCTGTGAGTTCAAGGCCCAGCCTGGGCTACATAGTAAGACCCTGTCTCAAAAAACCAAAAAAATAAAATAAGATTTTTACCCAACAAGTAGGAATTTAAACAGTGACTGGATATTTAATGATACTGATGATAATACTATTTTGCTTTATTATTTTATTTTATTTTACTTGGTTTGTGAGACAGGGCCTTGCTATGTAGTTTATACTGGCCTTGACCTCACTATGTATTCCAGACTGGCCTTGAACTTGAGGTGATCTTCCTCCCTCAGCCTCCCAAGTGCTGGGATCACAGAAGTGCGCCACTACGCCTGCCTGTATTTTAAAAGTCATTCTCTTTTAGAGGTATGTATTGAAATATTTATGAGTGAAAGGACAGGATGGCTAGGACTTCTTGAAAACAATACAAGAGGATGAATGGGAAGGTAGACTGCATAGGACTAGGCAGGGTAAAGCAACATCGAGTTCATTATAGTATTCTGTGTGCTTTGTGTATGGCTTTAATTCTTCATTAAAATAAAAGGAGGAAACAGGTTAGGAGAGAAAGCATAAAAAGCAAACAATGAACCTGAATTGCAGTCTGATTCCGTGCTTCAACATCTTCCTGACAGGGTCCAGAGACAGGGAATTAACTGTAATTCATAATTCAAAATCTTTGTTGTTGTTTTCCTACTTCACCATCCTAATTCATTTTCTTATTCTGTTTCTTTGTTTCTTCCTACCTTCTTGCAAAGGTATCCTTTGTCACAGCCAAACAGTGTACCTCAATGGGAGAGCACTTGCTTGGTTAGCATGTTTGAAGTCCTGGGTTTGATCTCTGGCAGCACAGAAGAAAAAACAAAGGCCAAACTATCCTAACTCCTGTTTGCCAAAGACCCAGGGCTCCTCTGTTTGTCTTTTCTTGTCATGGTTCTGGAGGCCAATTTAACATTATCACAAAGAACACAGGCGTTTTGTTGACTTTCAGCATGTGGTGATTTAAACTCAGGGCCTTGGGCACGCGAAGCTAAGTACTCCGCCACCACAGTTCACACCCACAGCCTAGTTTTCCTTTTGTATTTTGAGACAGGGTCTTGCTAAATTGCCCAGCTTGGCCTACAATTTGCCCTCCTCCCACACCCGCCTCCTGAGTCACTGGGATTACAGGTCTGCACCGCTCCACCTGGCAGAACAGGCTTTGAGTTCCAACTGCCTTGACACTGAAAACAGTTTCATTACAACACTACCTGCCCGTTCCCTGTACGCACCACAAGGACGTGAAACTTTGGCCTCATTATTCTTAGTATCACTACTGACATCGCTCAAACAGGGTAAGGAAACCACGGTATCATGGTGAGGGTTTAGTGGGATCGTGTTAAGTAAAACCCCTATCCAGTATATACCACTTAATACACACAAAATAAATAATAAAACACATTTCTGCTTGAGTCACTCTTCCTTCTGCTAAAGACAATCCTACCTACCTCTCAGGAGAACTGAAGTTGCATCTCCTTTGACAGCCTGGAAAATTCAATTTTAGGCAACACTAAAGCAGGTCAGACAGAATAGTGGTTAAAAGTTCCAAATCATGCGGCTGGGGATTTAGCTCAGCGGCACAGCGCCTGCCTGGCAAGCGCGAGGTCGTGAGCTCAATTCCTGGTACCGGAAAAAAACCCGAAAAAAAGAATAAAAAATAAAAAATAAATTTAAAAAAAGTTCCAAATCTGAGCCATGCATGGTGGCACACACCTCGTAACTCTAGCACTTAGGGAGGCTGAAGCAAGAGGATCTCAAGTTTGAGTCCTGCCTGAGCAACTTGGTGAAATCCTATCTCAAAAAAAATTTTTTAGGGCTGGGGATTTAGCTCAGCGGCACAGCACCTGCCTGGCAAGCGCAAGGTCGTGAGTTCGGTTCCCGGTACCAGAGAAAAACCAAAAAAAAAAAAAAAAAAAAAAAATTTTTAAAAGGATTAGAGATATAGCTTGCTGATAGAGTGGCTATGGGTTCAATTCCCAGTACAGAATGAATGAATGAATGAATGAATGTTTTAAAATCTCCAAACCTGCTTTTATCTTTTACTTTATTTTCTGAAGATTAATTTTACTATTTTCTTCATTACTACATGTTTGTAATACATAACGATCACCTTCCTCACGGGGAGTTGGTATATGTATGTAACACATCTTAATACTTTTTCTTTTATACTTTAAATACCTTTGTACTGTTTTTTGTACTGCTGAAATGTTTAAATTAAATATGTACTTTCTAATTAAAAATTGAATAAAGAAAAAGGGCAAAATTATAAAATCAAGAACCTTCATATTTATTTTATTCTACCCCCGTCATCTGTACTTATTTCCCCCTAAGAGCAGAGGCCTTGTGTATCTCCTAGCGTTCTACCTCCCTGTATCTGCCCCCGTAGCAGATGCTACACATTTGATGAGTAGAGGTAAATGCAATTTGAGTAGGAGGATTAGAAAAGCTTTGAAATGAACCTTTAAAAAGCACTTCGGTTTGGAAAGTAGACTCCAGAATAAAAGAATGTATTATCTTCTCCCCTTGAAATGCTGGTTAATATCTGTTCACAACTCTTCACTGCTCTTCTCATTAAACATTTAGACCCCTATTTGAACAAGAAAATCTGAACTCTTCTATCCTTAACTGTAAAATACAGTACTGTGCAAAGAGGCTAAGAGTTTAAATGAGACCAAGGAGACCTACTGTATGAAAGCCACTGTTGACAAACCTGTCCCAAATTTGCTGAAGGGGTGTTTGGGATTCCCTGTAGCTTTCTCCAACTGAAAGAGTCTCCAGGCATCGTTCATCACATTCTTTTCATGTTCTGAATCCACTGCATTCACTTCTCTGTCTTTGCAACTCTCATCAAACAAGGGGCACAGGAAAAACTGTGCAAACCTAAGGGTATGAAAAATAATTAACAGCTTGAAAACTGTTATCTGAAAGGACTAGGTTTTTTTTGTTTAATTAGGTATGGATTTAAGTACAAAACCTATTTCTGTAAGACTAGTCTTTAAAAAAAGTTTTAAACTCTATTAGATAGAAAATATGAATTCTGTAGGATAAGAAAAAATTACTGTAATCCCAGCCCTTGGGAGGCTGAGGCAGGAGGAGGTGAGTTCAAGACCAGCCTGGGCTACAAAGTGAGGTAAAAGCCAGCCAGAACTGCATAGCAAGACCCTGTCTCAAAAAGACCAAAAAAAAAAAAAAAAAAAAAAAAAGAGAAAAGAAAAAGAAAAAAATTACTCTGTTACTAAGAAAAAAGAATATAAACTAAGTTCTAAACAACAGAAGAAAAATTTAACATTGGACATATATAAAGTCACGGGAACTGATTTGTTCCAGAGATGCTAATAATTAGTGGAAAACATAAATAAGTAACATCAAAAGGTCAAGGAAGACTTAGAGAAATAGTAGTCTATCTAAGCTTATCAGTGGTACCTTCCCGTAGTTCTAGCACTCTGGAAGGCTAAGACAGGAAGTCTGCAAGTTCAAACGCAGCCTGGGGAACTTAGTGACAGTGAATGAGACACTGTCTCAAAACTGAAAAGTTAAAAAAGGCTGGAGATACAAGAAGACCTGAGTTTAATTCTTGGTAACCCCCACCACCAAAAAAAAAAGAAAAAAAAAAGATTTGCAATATCTATGAAAAATCTTGTTTTATGTAATTAATTCTCTGAAGAAAAAAAAAAGGAAAGTAGAAAATAGTTATTAGCCCAATAATTTTAAAGTTTTAGGTGCAATTTCAGTAAGACTTTGGTACCTCAGGAGACAAAAATTAGGTGATCTACTTTTTTTTTTTTTTGTCTTTTTGAGACAGGGTTTCACCATGCAGTTCAGGCTGGCCTTGAACTTACTTTGTAGCCCAGGCTGGCCTTGAAATTATTTTGTCGCCCAAGCTGGCCTCAAACTAGCAGCAATCCTCCTGCTTTAGCCTCCCGAGTATTGGGATTACAGGTGTGCACCATCATGCCTCGCTAAGTGACTTACAAAAAGACATGACTTCAACTTTTCTGTCTTCTTTCTTAAGCAGTGCTAGGGATTTAACCCAGGAACTTTGCACTGAGTCACATCCTGTCCCCTTTTTTCCCTCTAAATTTTTATTTCTCTAACACAGTCTCACTAAATTACCCAGGCTAGGCTTGAACTTGGGATCCTCCAGTCTCAGCCTCCCAGACTGAGATTACTGGCAGGCACTACCATGCTCAGTTTTTTGGTTTTCTTTTCTTTTGTTTTCCTCTGCTTTGTTTTGTTTTGTTTTCTTTTCTTTTCTTTTCTCCTCTTTGGAGAAATTCAAACGAACTACACTGAAACACCTGAGCTATGACATAGGAGTTTGACCTAGCTATTACTATGAAACATTAAGATACAAACCATCTATGAATTTTTAATAAGCAGTAATTTAGTAAATAGCAAAATGAGCAATTGTAACAAAAGTAACCACTATGCATTGAGGCTATTCTTTAACAATAATAAAATTTAACTAAAATATCCCTAGTGTGTAAATTAAATTCTTCTATATTAGGTAGCAATTTGAGTCATGATTTCATGAAGCAATTCTTCTCAAGAAATGTTAGATCCTACCATATAGGAACAAGATCCAGAATTCAGATGAAGCCAAGAGCAGGGGTTCTGAACAGTACTATTGTTCAGAGGGACCTAAAAGAATGCTGGGTCTACAAACAGCTCAGTTACCACGAGTCCAGCTGTCAAAAGGGCGACTGTCATTACTTAACATTTATTTTAAGTGCATAATGAATATGATACTGTGCTAAGTACTTTACACATGCCAAGCCAAAGGGAAACTCCACCTATCTCGGGTTTATAATTAAAAATTTATGAAAACAAATAGTTATAGATGTATCCTCTCTTACCTATTTCAATATATTAAGGCTAGGAAAACTACCTAACAACCACAGACCAAAGCTGCATAGGTGCAAATAATAATGTTTATGACGTAGAATAATCCAGTTTTTAAAAAGATGTTCTTATACAAGTGAATTTTTACTCTAAGCTATATAGCAGACATACTGCATCATACAGAGATTTGTTATATATATAAAATTTGCCCTGGCATCTGCAAAACAGAAAATAAAATTCAGTATAGATTACCAGGCGTGGCGGTGCATGCCTATAATCCCAGCACTCAGGAGGGTGAGGCAGGAGGATCGTTGAGAGTTTGAGACCAGCCTGGGCTACAAAGTGAGCTCAAGGCCAGCCTGAACTGCATAGTGAGACCTTGTCTCGGGGAAAAAAAAAAAAAAAAAGAAAAAAAGAAAAAATTCAGTACAGATCCCACGGAACTCCTTAATGGAAATCTTTGGGAATACTTATAAAGATGACTATACCTCAAGCCTAAAGAATGAAACACAACACAGAATAAATAGAAAACAGACTACTTTGATCCAGTCACATATCATAAACCCATGCCTTTATGTGCTGGGAATGTAGCTTAGTAATAACATGTTTGTTTAATATGCTTGAGGCCCTGGGTACAATCCCTAGTACTGAAAAAAAAAAAGAATAAGTGAAAACTATTCATTTTTTAAAATATAATGACTATTATTAATATGAATAAGCAAATAAAGCTGACAATGACTAAAATTACAGTGTCAGACTTTAGGCTACTTGTTCTCTACAGTAACCTGTTCTCATCCTGAAGAGTGTATTTGTTTTCCTACTTTTACTTGGCCCAAACTCACTCTGCAGTTTTGCTTTCCTATCTTTAAGAAATGTAAAACCCTGCTACCATTTAAAAAAATAGTCGAGCATGGTAGCACATACCTGTAATCCTAGCACTCGGGAGGCTGAGGCAGGAGGACTACTGTGAGTTCAAGGCCAGCCTGCACTACACAGTGAAACTCAGTTGCAAAAAAAGAAAAAAAAAAAAAAATCAAACTTCAAAATGCTACAAAACTACACCTTGCTAATACAGAAATCTACAAAATTATAAAAATTCACGAGAAATTATACTTTAATAAATAAATCAAATCACTAACACAACAAAAAATAAAAAATTGTTGGCTACAGCCAAGCATGGTGGCACATGCCCATAATCTTTGCTACTTAAAGACACCTAAGTAGAAGGGTAGCAAGTTCAAGGCTGGCCTCGCCAATTAGTAAAAGGCTGTCTCAAAATAAAAAATGAAAAGGGCTGGGGGTGGTGCTCAGGAGGACAGCACCTGCCTAGAATTCATGATCTCCTAAGTCTAATCACCAGTAACACAAAAAAAGATAAAAGGAAATTGTTGGCTGTACAGAAAATTGACCAAGAAGTTAAACTGGCCGAATGGAGCATTCTCCAAAAAATACTTTTAAAACACCCGCAGGTTTCAAACAGGTCAAAACACTATTACTTAAGTGAGGAAGTAAAGAACAGGATGCTTAAGGTCTAACACTTTGGAAGAGGAAGTATGTTTGAAAAGTGATCCACAACACTAACCACAGGCTATTCCACATCATGTACATTCGCTACAGCACCAAGTAGAATGGAAAGGGCCAGTGAGAAATTTGTAAATCAATATATTTTGTGGGCCTGAACTGGCGTAAAGTCTTGCTATTTTTCTTTCTTTACCAGAAGGAAAACTATGACATCTCTCATTATCCTTTCCTTTTTACAACATAAAGGGAAAAGGCTGGTTAAAATGTATTTCATTAAGCTATAAAGTGATGAAGCCATCTTTGTTAAAAAAAGAAAACTATTATTATTTCTATTAATGTGATTAAGTACATAAAGTTAATTTACAGTGTATTCAGCATTACCTGTCTAGCGCACCTTCCAGGTGTTCATGAGAAACATCAAAATAGTAATTGGTGTGCTCTCCACTGGTGAAGGCATTCGAGCTCCCTGCATGCTCACTGAGGAACTGGCTGTATTCATTTTCTTTTGGATATTTCTTTGTTCCCAAAAAAAGCATATGTTCACAAAAATGACTTAAGCCAGCAATATTTGGAGGATCTGATAATGAACCTGAAAGAGAAAACACATATATAACAAATTATTTTTTATGTCAAAAGCTAGTAATTATAGACAATTTGGAATTCTTGTTAGTGTAACAACTATAATCACATAATCAGAGAAAGTTAAGAGTAAGCTGCTTAAAATTATATTATTTAGAAGGTAAATGAATGGTCGGAAGACTTGGATTCTACCCCCTACTCTTTTTTTTAAAGAGAAAAAAAATTTCAAAACAAGATAATAGGAGGGTAATGGTTAATACGTTGCATATTGTTATCTTTATATTAGTTACTCAGAGTACAAGATCTAGGCATTTAATTGTCCAGACAATATCAGCAGAAATCTTTCTTTTCAATGAACTAAGAGAAATTAGTAGTATAGCTATCTTCACTATCGCATATGTGTGTGTGTATATATATTATATATATATATACACTTTTTTTTTTTTGCTTTTCCCTCCTTTTTCTCCATTCCCCCATCCCAGTTTCTCTTTCCTTTGAACAGTTTCTTCCCACTTTACAATATCTACTGCACATTTTGGATATTATTTACTCTTTCAGCTTCTCATACTAGGGAGACAATATGATGTTTAGACGTGAGTCTGGTTTATTTTACTTAAGAGTATGGTCTCTAGATGCATCCATTTACCTATAAAAGTCACCATTTTATCCTTCTTTATAGCTGAGTAGTACTCCATTATATAAAAACATCACATCTTTTTTTATCCATTCCTCAGCTGATAGGCATTTGGGTTATTTCCAAGATCTAGTTATTACAAATTGTGTGGCCCCTACTCTTGACATTATTGAATTGGCACATTGACAAGATTCCTTAACCTCTCTGGACAATAATTTCCTCATGTAAGAGGGAAAGAACGAGCTGAGTTCACTGTTTTATAAGATCTAAAACTTCCTTTGTTATGGTTTTATTTTATTGGTTTTTTTTTCTTTTTGAGACAGGGTCTCGCTATGCAGTTCAGGCTGGTCTTGAGCTCACTTTGTAGCCCAGGCTGGTCTCAAACTCACAGTGATCCTCCTGCCTCAGCCTCCCGAGTGCTGGGATTACAGGTGTGTGCCACCACACCCACGTTTTATTTTACTGTAAGAGACCACACAGCATAGTGCTAAGAGGATGGGCTGGGAGATTAGCAGTTCTGTAACTGTGAAGTTTTAAGCATAATATTTACCTAGGGTCTAGTGCAAAATACATGGGAACAATTATTAGTTCAATATTACCTTAATTTCTCAATTCTAAAATGTTATGGAGTTAAAAAAATACCTACTAGCCAGGCATGGGGTGATGCATGCCTTAATCCTAGCTACTCATGAAGCTGGAGAAAGAGGATCACAACTCTAAGGTCAGCCTGGACAACTCAGCAAGACCCTGTCTCACAGTGAATTTTAAAAGGCTTAGGATATAGCTCAGTGGTAGCACCCCACATACACAAGACATGAATTCAATTCCCAGTAACCCCCTCTCACACTCAAGCTACGAAAAAATAAACTGTCTTGCCAAGTATACACATGAGTAAAAGGCAATCCTTTCTTTTTTTTTTTTATGGAGACCACTACGAAGCAGCCCTGAGCAGGACAAATTAACCAATGGACTTTTCATGTTTATTTGAGAATCTGTCCAAATTCTAGGCCGCTTGTCTGGAAATGGGCAGTAGACTCATAGTAAGTGAACCTCTGTGAGTTACAAGCCCTACTGTCATGGCGATGAAGCCTCAAAGGATAAGACAAGATCACAGCCAAGGATACCTAGATCCAACCTCAACTAGAAAAAGACTGCTGACTCAGGCACCTCACTCCTGGGTAGACTAACTTAATACCTTACTTGGAGAAGTCCTTGAGTGGTTCTGTCCTTCTTGAGTACTCCCCTCCCTTCTGATAACTAAATAAATACAGGCCACCCAGAGAAGGTCTTGGTCTTAACCCTGGTAGAATCTCGAATTCTGTGAGAGGGCTTTGATCCTTCTGGAGCCCTGAAATCATTCCATTTGTCTCTTTTCTTTTAGCCTTTGCTGTACACTCATTCGGGAAACTGCAGACCTGATCAGCCCACAATAACTAAGTATTATTAAACCGATTTTGGTTTTTTTTTTTTGGTCTTTGTGAGACAGGGTTTCACTGTGCAATTCACACTGGCCACTTTGTAGCCCAGGCTAACTTTGAACTTCCAGGGATCCTCCTTCCTCAGCCTCCCAAGTGCTGGGATTACAGGAATGTGCCACAATGCCCAGCTAAAAACAATCCAATTTAAATGACATTAAATGTAGAAGAAATGTGCATGCAAGGATCTACAAATATGACATTAAGTGTACCAAAGTTAAAAAACAGAACTACTACTGTAAAGATGGGAATACATTTCCTTGCTGCTAGGTCACCTTAGGTGGGACCCTAACAAGATGCTTTTAGTAAATGTAAGATTATTGTGACTTAGATGACTAGTTTACCAATAAATGTATAAGGGTTCCATTACAAAATAAGGTATTAAAAAAAATCAATAAAATAAAGTACATTGAACTGATTACTGGATTTTTATTCACACTCCAACAGAAAGTTCTACTAAGTATAACCACTAGCTGAAACTGAACAAAGTTCAATTTACAATTTTAAATTGTACCTATGTGTACATCAAGGGCTGCTGAAGACTTATCCGTGGTGGGATCGCTGATGAGAAGTACTTTGATACCATTCGCCAGCTCTAGTCCGCGGTATTCTCGCTTGTCTTCAGGAGATTTGATAATGTGATTTCCTATTCTCTTGACAGCTGAATTATTCATTTTGCTATAAGTCTTTTTTTGAAAACTGAAGGAAAAAAAAAGATTATTAATTGTTAAATTTTGGCTATTTTTAAAAGGACAAAAAATAACATTAACCAAATTCACATAATACATCATCACATTTAAAAAGTACTTAGGAGGACACTGTTGCTGCTGGAGGTTGAACTCAGGGCCTCAGGCATGCTAAGCACACCCTCTAACACTGAACTATATCCCTAACCCTGGAGGAAACTTTATAACCTATCTTCAGGATATAATCATTCCTCTCTCCCATCTTACCCCTCACTCTGTTGGAGAAATGCTGACCACACCCCTTTCATAGAGCCATATTTATACCTAGAAGAGTACATGGGTTGGGATTTGACACAGGGTAGGTTGGGCCATGAGTTGGTGAATGCACTGACCTAGAATAGTTTTCCCAATAACTACTTTCATACATATTTCAAAGGTTATCTGCTACAGTAAGGTGGGAAGTTGTGTAATAGTTATTACTGGGTCAGCCAATACATTGCTCAACCTGACCATGTACAAGGATATGGCAGATTTGGAGCTCATGGATCTCATATGCATTCAAGACAACACAGAGCACAGGGAGTAGTCCTCAATAAGAACAAACGTGTAAAGCCTTAACACAAAGTAAGAGGTATGGGCTGTTCTATGAAAGCAGCAAAGGCAAGCACATAAAACAAAGAAAAACCTGGAAGGACTCCAAATAATTTTTGTAATCCACTGCAGAGTTGAATGCCAGGGCAGGAACAGCGTAGCAATCGTAACAGAGATGTTATAGAAATTCTCTTACAAAGTGCTTCCTCTGATAATTCTCTTTTCTTCTCTAGGAAGGCTAGAGACACAATGATGGGAAAGGACTAGCAGCACACAGAATCCTAAAATGGTATTAGCTGGTACTGCATTAACACAGTAAAGAGACTTTTCCATGTTAAGTTTTTTGAGAGTAGGTTATTTATTTATTTAGAGATGGAGTCTTACTATGTTGCCCAGGCTAGCCTTCAAATCACAATCCTCCCATCTCAGCCTCCAAAATTGCTGGGATTATAGGTATGTGCTGCTGTGCCCAGCTTAAATGTTATTTTTGTTTAAGAGACAAAAATCTTAAAAAAAAAAAAAGAAAGAAAAAGAGACACGAAAACCTGAACATATTACTGTTGGCAGGTTCATGTACCAATCCCGTAAAGCCAAAAGCATGTCTGAAACTACATGATACAGGGCAAGTGAACCTATGCTGGCATACTGGCTTCTCACCCAGAAAACAAAAGAAGTGGATTTGGCCAAGTGTGCTGTAATCTGGGGGCTGAGGCAGGAGGATTATAAATTCAAGCCCAGTCTGGTCAACTTAGAGAGACTCTGTCTCAAAATTTATGAAAGGAGGCTGGGGATGTGGCTCAAAGGTAGAATGCTTGCCTAGCATGCACAAGGCCCTGAGTTCAATCCCCTGTACCACCAAAAAACAGAAAAATAAATTATGAAAGGGCTGAGTATGTGGCTTAGTGAGAAGATCCTTGGTTCAATCCCCACCACTACCACCCTAAGGTGGAACTGACTGTCCTAACATATTGTTAGCCTGTGACTCAAAGGTAAATCAGAGGAAGGATGGGTAAATAGGCAGACAATTATTGATAAAATATTGTGTTAAAATCTTGAAAGATTAAGAGAAAAAAAGCCTAGACTGATTTTAAACCCGGCACGGTGGTACATGCTTGTAATCCCAGTATTTGGGAGGCTGAGGCCAGAGGATCACCACAAGTTTGAGGCCAGCCTGAGCTATGTAGATAGTTCAAGGCCAGCCTGGATTACCTAGGGAGACCCTGTCTCAAACAACAAAAGTCTAGATTGATTTTAGGAGACTATATTGAAATTATCTATAATTACTCATCTAATCTGAATAACAATTGAGAAACCAAAGAGGTTTGTTCCTATAAAGACTGTCCCCTAGATCTTATTTTGAGAGATGATATGTAGAATTTTAATGATCAATACTATAGGTCATACTAAATGTGTAATACTCGTTTTTAAAACTCATGCTTTGCACAAACAATCCTAATGGTCTTGCTCTAGAGTAAAATACTTCATGAAAAACAATGGATAAGATATAATGCTAACATTTTGAGACTATAAAGATACTAGTCAAAGATTTAACAACAATTTGGAGTGAAAAGCCATTATTAACAATCACTTTTTACTTCATAGCCATAAAACACAAGATCAATGTCAAAGAGCGGGTTGGAAGGTATAGCTCAGTAGAGAGAGCATTTGGCTAGCATGTGTGAGGCCCTAGGTTCAGTTCCCAGCAAAAAAGTTAGAAATGAAAACATCCGAGTGCAAAGTCTAAAACATTATGCTGTTTCATGTTAGGGAAAAAATTCTCAGGATAACAGGAATAGGTTCTAAAAAGACTCCAAAGAGGGGCACCAGGAACCCAAGATAACAGCGCTGGTTAACATTTCCCAACGGACAATCTATTTAGAACACAGCAAATGCCTTCAGTAAATAGTTTGTTTCGAAAACCTTCATTTGAGTTCAACATAGATTATTTGAAAGTGATTTCCGAACTAGCAGCAATGTGATGCTAAATAAACCATGAGGTCACCTCCAGGAAGAAGAGCAGCATAGAAAGGTGGCAATAAGAAGCTCAGTGTGCATCACAGAAAATTCCTAACCCTCCCCTACAGCCCCCTCTATTAGAGGGAGAAAAGGGGCCGGGATTTTAGTCAAGGATTCTAAGGGCTATTTGCTTCATCACCATCACTGATACCCAATTCCATGCCATAGGTTCGCCACCACTGTTTAGGGAACAAAGGGCTAATTAGCATGATTAAACTAAAACTGTTTAACCCATACCTATGGGAAGATGAAACAAAGGGCACTTCGGTGGTATAAACTGTCTTATCTCATGGGAGGTTGAAAACCCATTATAGTACATAAGGATAACCACCTCAACTACAGGCCACATGCTGTCATTTTTTCAGGGTCTCAATTTCCCTTGTACAGATTGCAGTTTTCTCAGACCAAAAAAAAAAAGCTAAAGTTAAAACAGAGTAAGATGCAGGTACTGTGGATAGAGATTGCGAGCTCCTGGCCAGTAAGAAGCCCTTACAAATGACCAGCATCTATCACAGGCACAGACATAACTTATTTGGATACTGAAGCTGTGCCTGATTCATATTCTTGGTGTGGCTGAGAATAAAGACATACAATTTATTCTGTAAGTTACACATAAAAATCAGTGCAACTACTTTTAGACATCTGTACACAGGATCAAGATCAGCTATAAATTTCTAAGCTTGCAGTGCTCTCAAATCAAGTATCATGATTTCTTGAGAAATTAAAGTCAAAAGAAAACAGTAGCAACATTTTCAAACAAGACTCATTCCCAGAACTCCATATTCAATGATATATCACCAATGCTTTTTACAAAGATTTGACTCTTACCTTCTGGAGAACTGAAGGAAATGATTGGAAACTCCTCTGATGATTAACTCATCAACAGCTTGCCTGTCTCTGTATTTATATGAGATCACATGTCTGTCTATCTCAGCTCCATCATTAGCATAAAGCCTTCAAGAGTAACTTTACTTATTGCAAATGTTCTCCAATAAGCAAGCATTCTGACATTTCAGATGACAAGCAAGTGCTAACTCAAATGCTTTTCCAGACATTTATTTGATATTTTTAACTTGTCAAAGTCAATTTTAGGAGCAATAAGATTATTTTCAATTTTAGAGACATTATTATATACTGGAAACTTCACAAGGTACAGAATTATCAGTTTTCAGCATTCTGATGAACTAGAGAGATGCTTAGTAGTTATGACATAATTTGTTCAGAATTTAAAACAATGACTATAATCACAGAAGGTAAAAGCTAGAAGAGCCATTGCAGGATATTAACTAGGCCTTTGTAGTTCATGGAGCTTGTTAAAAATGCAAAATATCAGAACCTACCATAGGATAACACTGCACTTTAATAAGATCTCCAGGTGGGTTACTCTCATTTTATCCAGAAGGAAATAAGCTCAAGGAGCTTGAGCCACTTGCCCAAAATCATTCCATAAAAAATTACAATTAGATTTTTTTTTCTGGTTTGGATTAAACACAGGACCTTTGTATTGAACTACATCTCCACCAACGAACACCCACTCTGAGACTGATGTAGTCATGACCATAGTAAGGGACAACCACAGAGATGGGAAACAGGCAAAACCCTGGGCCCTTACCTCCTACTCAAAAAAACATGCTTCGTGTTTTCTTCTGGGACAGTTACGGACCGTTTTTGCTATGAACCATGAGTCTTCACTTGAACCTACAGATGCCCTTTAAGTAACTAAGAACCAAGCTTGACCATTTTGTATCCTTTGTTACCTTAAAATTTATACAATCTTTCCCCTTTCAAGACTGAGGACACCAGGATATGGAATTTCCAGGGACACTCACCTTGGCTGGAAGTCTCCAGCCACCGTCCTGAACCTATGGTCACCTGGACTCCAAGGAAGGTGGAGCCCCATCAGACTGAGACCACCACAGACAAATTAATCCTTCCCAGAAAGGAAACCATCCCTTAGCCAAAAAGATTCATTCCAGAGGTATGACACCAGGATTGAAATAATGATCACCCAAACCCTAGCCCACCAGCTAATCCTTAAAAAGCTGGCCTCACCTTTAGAGGTGGGCCAGTTTGAACCCCTGTATCAGAGTGTTCCCTCACTAGCTACCTAAGTTGCAGTCCTTTCCCATCTTCCCTTTAGCTTTCCAATTGAAGTTTTCTTCCTGTATAGTTGTACTTTCATTTTTAATTTCCATTTCTATTAAAGCAAGGATCCACACCAGCCAGTAACAAGACCAAGACAGTACGGGCAGGGGCTGGGGATTTACCTCTGCGGCACAGCGCCTGTCTGGCAAGCACAAGGTTGTGAGTTCGATTCCCGGTACCGGAAAAAAACTGGAAAAAAAAAAAAAAAGGACAGTACAGACTGAACTATAAATGGTAATCCTCCTGCCTCAGTCTCCCAGA